TATCTTGCAGACAAAAAGATTGTTGTTTATTGTTAAAGTACACTTAAAAATACACTATATGCATGTTTCTGTCACTGCTGTCTGGCAAATCAAAGGAAAATAGAACATTCACTGGCCAAGACACATGCATGCATGGATAATCATAATCGAAGCTCATAAATAATGACCTTTGGCTACCAATTAATGTCAACTCCTCCTCCATTTAAGAGTGGGATGTTCTCCTTCTCCCGGTTTTGTCACAGAGTTAGAAGGCATAGATGCAGGAATCACAGAGATTCCTTTCAAGATACTTCCCACAACTTATTCCTTTTTTTCATTCTGGATTGTGGGCACAAGTGTCATTGCAGGCAGATTTTCACTCCACTGCAAGCTGAATTTGCAGAATAGAGTTTTGTGCAAAAGGGCTTGTAAAGGCAGATCCACTGTGACCCAGACTCACTGTCTATAGGCCACACTTCAGCCATTGCATGATTACTTTAATTGGTGGATGATGGCATTAAGGAGTACTAGGCTGAGAGTTATAGTTTGTTACTATAAGAAAAAGTTGAAATACTCACTTTCAAGGAAGAAGGCTTGTCATGCAGAGACGCTGATAGAGCTGAGCTTGTTCAGCCTGGAGAAAGCTCCAGGGAGACCTTAAAGTAACTTCCAGTGCCTAAAGGGGCTGACAATAAAGCTGGAGAGGGGCTTTTCACAAGACAGACAGGGCCGGTTCTTCAAGATGAAGAACAAATCAGAACTAACCTAAAACACAGACACAATTGTTAAGTAATTTACGAGTCTTTTCATATGCGCAAGCAGAGATGAGTCAGTAGCAGACTATACACAACCATCAGAGACCTCTGGAGACCACCACTCAGCAAGAAAAGCACATGTGTAATTAAAATGCAAATATTACAATTAGTTTCAGGAAATCTAATGTAAAACATTTCCTAGAAAGGTTGCAAATATGCATATTTTTTTTTGATATATGGATGGTGCTTGTAGACTTTAGGTGCACTCACCTTTGCAAAATGATTTGTGTGTGCGCTCAGTGCTGCAATAAAGAATGCCTGCTTTTTAAAACTCTGAATCAAATCTTAGAGAGTTTCTTAGACTGTCTTTTGCGGTAACAATATGATTCATTTTGAAGTCACCTATAAGATGGGAACAACAAATGTGTGGGAAATTACCTTTTCATTAGTTTTGATAATTACAACTGAGGTGATGTTCTTTTCCCCCTTAATTTTCTACTTGAAAATCAGATCTATCACCCCTTTCCACAAGAGATGCTTTGGACCAGATGAACAGGAACGGGATTATTGGTGATCTCTCGTGTGTTTTGAGGTTCCCCCATTTCAGAGCCTTTTCCAGCACGGCCACGGAGCAAACCCGCAGCTGCAGAGCCCTCTTGTGGAGAAGATTCAGGCGGTTCTGGCAGGAGGAGATGTTTCTGCTTGTTTTTTTTTTTTTTTCCTTTTTTTTTTTTTTTGCTTTTTTTTTTTTTTCGCACAAGGAACAAGAAGGACGTCCTATGGATTGCTGTGGCAGGGAACAGTGTAGGCAAGACATCCAGCTCACTCCAGAGTCAAGATATTGCTCCATTCTTATTTGCACAAAGATGGGGCTAGGTGGTAGTTTCACGGACCTAGCACACCCTCAGTCTGCCAGATATTCACTTTCATGCATTTCAAACAGTGAAAATCAGTGTTTTCTGTACATGTAACAATCTATATCTACAATCACTGTCTCTTCGATTCTCTCATCTCCATTTAAGGACACAGTACATATTTACTTCATTACGCATGTTCCATGAGTAAGGGTCTCTGTGGGGAGGGTCTCATCTCAGGGGGTGTGATTTTTGCTATTACAATGAACTAAGTTCACAGAGAACACAGTTATCTTCTGCTTTGCTGCACTTTTCAAAGTTAGTTCTGGATTTTTGACCCTGGGTTCCTTCCTAATCTTTCCCTAGTTGTTACTCCTGATCCAGATGTACCAGTCTTTTACCTCTTCTCAAGGCCTGTAACTTTAGTAAGGAAACACTGTTTTCCAAACTCAAGATTTTCAAGCTTTCACACACACAGTCCTTTACAAATCTTAACTTCTTCATTGTCAGATAACAGAAACTGCGTGCTTTACATTCTAATTGCACTATTATTGTTGAGATTTCTCCTCCACAGAAGTATTCTAAATGCAATCTTATTTTTCTTTTAATAATAATTAGATCTAGACTAATAATGATTCTTGAACTAGATTGTTATCAGTTGTGCTAACAACAAATTCTTAGCTTGATACATAAGGTCTGCCGCTTCTTTCCCCATAAATGAGACTTTGAGCACCCCACCAGCTATTGCAATGATCCTTACTATGGGTGTATATATATACATATATATATAGTATGCATATTTACAGATGTATGCATACCTATTCCGTTAGCAGAATCCAGCATGTTCAGGCAGTGAGGAGGAACAGGATCAGGGCACCAAAACCTCTCATATTTGTCTGCGTGCTTTGTATTTTCTGTCTGAGTTAATCTGTGTGGCTGATTATTACACACATACATGCATGTATACATATATTTAAATCTGTGTGTGTATATATATATATTTGTATGCTGGGTATATGAACATGAGTGCCTTTTGGCAGTACATGCTCAGCCTTACTGCTGGCTGGATCTGGCAGTGAGGAGCTGCAGCAGCCTCCCATTTAGTGGAGTCAAAGATTCAACAAACCCCAACACTTTTCCCTCAGGCCTTGTGTGAGGGATTCACTGCATCCTTACCTTGCTATAAGGGACTGCATGTTCTGGCAGCACATGTGAGCTTATCAGACCAGTTGAGAACAGTCCTTTCAAGGCAAATATAAGCAGTTCTACCCTCATTACTGGTTTACTTTTTATTTCAGTTTACCTTCCTGTGCTGTTTTTTCTATCAACAGCCCCAGAACATGGACAGCCAGGCAGTAAACTAAAAAGGAACAAAATCTCCTACTCCTCTGTCAGATGGCCATCAGCACCTGCACTGGCTCCAGCTGGGATGGTGTTAACTTTCCTCATAGCTGCTTGCAAGGTGCTTTGTTTTAGATTGGTAACTAAACTGTGTTAATAACACACCAGGTAGTCATACAGTCTAGAATGACCCTGTAGGTCACATGGATCAAACTCCTGTGGGGAGCTGGGGTCAGCTGTCCTGGATGGGTCCCATCCCAGCCTCTTGCCTACCTCAACCTGCTTCACAGCTGGGCAAAGTGGGAAACAGAGAAGGCCTTGATGTTGTGCAAAGAGCAGCTGAAATACTGGTACATTATCAACGCTGTTTTGGTCACAAACACAAAACATGGCACTATAGCGGCTGCTAGGAAGAAAATAAACTCTATCATAACCAGACTTTCTGTGAAATCCTTTGGGCCTAGTGACACAACGACTTTTTGGTTTATAAGCTGAGTTAGCAAGGAGCTGGCACAGAGGAGCAAGTGAGGCAAAGCAGTCTTTAAGCCCCGAGACACTGTTTGCTCATTATGAAACTCCTCCGTGTGTCCTTAGTACACTCATCTCTGAGCCCAAACCCTCACCAACACACTGAAGCTCATTCCTGAATGAACACCTCTGAAGGCTTGTCCATAACATCCTGGAAACAAGTTCTGGATAAGCTGCTCAGGACACCATGCAGTTTACCCAACTCTCACCAGCAAATTATGTCCTCAGACCTATTCTGCAAGCCTCTCCCCTGCCCTACCCTGCCTGTTCTCTTCCACCTCCCCTCCTCAGCAGCAGGACCAAAGCAAACATCATGAGATCACTGCGAGAACCTGGCGTATTTCAGCCGAGGGGGGAAGGAACACTCGGGACACGTAGGTCTGAGCCCTCCACCTCCCGGTTGATGGGCTATCTTGTTTTGCTTAAAACGCGAACGGATTTTGCAGAGCTTTCGAAAACCCCTCCCTGCTCACGGCTGGGGTATTCCAGTCCAGGCACCGGGTGAGTAAACCAAACTTTAAACCAACATAAACAATCCTCACCAAGACCCCAACCACGGCCACACAGCCCCCTCAAGGAAGCGGACACCCCACCCCGGCTCAGGCCACGCCTCCTGGCCGCTTCCTCCAATCAGGAAGCGGCAGCTGCGCACGCCCCGCCCATCTCCTCCCGCTGGCCGCAGGGAAATCGCTCTCCGGGTCGCGCTGTTTTCCGCCCTGATACGTGCCCGTGGGCGCGCGCAGGGCCGGGGTGTGTGGTGTGCCGTTGCGGCCTTGTGCGTAAGCCTGTGTGGGTGGCAGGAGGAGTGGACTGGAGAGGACAGCAGAATGTCGGTGACTCAGGGGAGCTCGGAGCTGGCGGACGACAGCGGTAGGTGCCCGCTTCCCTGGTAAAGATCCAGCGGGGGCTGGAAAACGCTTCTCCCGATCGCATCCGTGCGCGGAGCCTGTACCGCGGCGGCGGCTTGGTCTTGGGCCTGGGCCTGGGCCTGCACGGTGGGAGGTGCGCGGCACAGCGGCGGCCGTAGAATTAGAGAGTGGTTTGTGTTGGAAGGCACCTTAAAGCTCATCAAGCTCCAACCCCCTGCCACGGACAGGGACACCTTCCACTAGAGCAGGTTGCTTCAAGCCCCGTCCGACCTGGCCTTGAACACTGCCATGGATGGGGCAGCCACAGCTTGTCTGGGCAGCCTCACCACCCTCACAGGGAAGAATTTATTCCTTTTATCTAATCTAAACTTCTCCTGTTTAAGTTTTAGCCTGTTACCCCTTGTCCTATCACTACAGCTCCTGATGGAGAGTCCCTCTCTGGCATCCTTGTAGGCCCCATTCAGGTACTGGAAGGCTGCTATGAAGTCTCCACACAGCTCTCTCCACGCTGAGCAGCCCCAACTTTCTCAGCCTGTTTTCATATGGGAGGTGCCCCAGCCCCCTGATCATCCTTGTGGCACTCCTCTCGACTTGCTTCAATAGTTCTGTGTCCTTTTTGTGTTGGGGACACCAGAAATGTATGCAGCATTTTGGAAATAGTATTAATACTCTTTTTTTTTTTTTTTTTTTTTGTTCTCAGGTGTTTTTGAAATTGTTCTCCCTATCACCGTGCTTGTGCTGAGTGACGATGATTTTCTCCCAGATGACTCTGAGGAGCAAGCAGAGTCAGTTCCCAAGTCAAAGGAGGAGGATGAGCTGGAAGTGACCTTGAACAGTAGCATTCTCTTACAAAGTAATGGAACAGCTTCAAATGACAGTAACAGTGTGAGCATTTTGGAAGAAAACAAGACTGCTTCAAATGAGGATAATAGTATAACATACACTGAAAAAAACCAAGTTGCCAAGAGTGTGTGTAATGAATACGAATTAACTGATGGGAGTGGTGCATTCATGGACGAATGTCAGAATTACATGTTGCCTACATCATCTTACAAAACACAGCTTACAGAGAGAAATGAAGCCAGTTGTAGAGAAGAATGTGATGGTGATGACAGCTCTCAGAAAATTCCTCCTCTCTTCTCTGCTGGCATTGAGGGTAGCTATGATACCATCAGAACAAACAGCCAGGTGACATTGACAGTGATACCCAAACATGAAGAGGAGCCTGTCAGTGCTGCAAATGGTAGCAGTCAAGAGAAACAACCAGAAATCCCCAAGGAGATTGAAACTATTGTTGAAATGAAACGTAAGTTGTTGGTAAACCTAGTGCAAGAGCTTCAGAAATCTCAAGGTTTTGAAATAGGTAGGAAAGTGTATAGGAAGAATGCGAGACCCATTTATTTTAGAGTAAGCATTTCAACATGGATTAATATCAAATGCAGCAGAAAGAGAATACTGGCTGGAGTATGCTTAGTTCTTTCACAGACTCATGTGAAAATTAAACTAAGTTGGTACTGTTGCATTTTGCTGCAGTTTGCAAGGCATCCTTTCATTAGGAAAAAGTATCTGAAAATAAGAAGCAAAACAGGTGTCATATTTGTGAGAATGGAACCCTAGCAAAGTTTGTTGATGGTACTTTTATAGGAATTTTGGCATAAAGCTGTTCCCTAAAAAGTATAGGGGATGTAGTGTTGTCCAGTGGAATTTGGAGCTTTAAGTGGAAAGAAGGCTTCTATTTAGGATTTTTTATCTTAAGACACTAAATGTGGGGGTGGGGGTGGGGATGGGATGTGGAAACATACAGAGAACACAGTCACCGAGTGGTTTGATTTGGAAGGGACCTTAAAGGTGATTTTATTCCAATCCTCGGCCATGGGCAGGGACACCTTCCACTAGACCAGGTTGCTCCAAGCCCCGTCCAACCTGGCCTTGAACACTGCCATGGATGGGGCAGCCACAGCTTCTCTGGGCAACCTGTACCAGGGCCTCGCCACCCTCAGAGGGAAGAACTTCTTCCTAATATTTAATTTAAATTTCCCCTCTGTCAGTTTAAAGCCATTCCCCCATGTTGTATTGCTGCAGGCCCTTGTAAAATACCCCTCTCCAAATTTCTTGTCAGCCCCTTTAGGTACTGGAAGAGAGACATTAAAAGAGTGGAGATGGGAAAGTATTAAGGAAGCAAATGGAGTGCAGAGCAATCAAGTCATTAGATAATTCAGGATTATTACTACCAATTAATCATGAACATAGGTGATTGTATGACCTGTCATGCATGTGACTTTTTATTCCCCTGTAGATCCTGACTCTTCAGAGAATGGAGATAATAAAGCCAGTAACAATAAGAGAAGCAAATTTGAAGATGAAACTCTGGGTTCTCTTTTGAAGCGTGGCTTGAAAGAAGAACCAAAATTTACCTATAATTGTTCTGCTCCGTTTGTTAATGGATGTTCTTCTACTTCACAAGAATTGCTACAAGAGGCAGGGAAACCGGAGATGAGTGCCTCCACTTCTGCTGAATCAAATACTCCTGGAGATCATCTTTATGAGACATTATCACCATTTCCTAAAAAAAGATGTCGGCAGCAAAAAGTAATTTCTCTTCATGCAGGCCCAAAAGAATCCCCAAACCAGCAAGAAGGTTTAGCATGCCTAAGTAATATTATCACCATCAAAACCCTTCCTAAAGCGTCTTCTACAAATAAGCATGAAAGATTGAAGTGCAGATTTTGTAATTCTGTATATAAATGCAGTGCACATCTAAAGAAACATCTTTATTCAGCTCATAAAGGTAAGAAAATATATAAATGCTGCTTCTGTAAAAGAACCTTTTTCTTTTCTGTCAACCTTAAGAACCACCTTAAGCTTCATAAGAAAATAACTAGGTTGAAAAATGCAAGAAAAAATAGAAAGAATGTGAGAAAAGTTGGTCAGAAAAGATCTGAAGAAAGACAATCTGAGACCAAGAAAAAAGAAAGTAAATATAATAAACTTTTCAGCAAAATAGAAAGGGACTTCACACCTCTGAGTAGACCAGTTAGGTTTTCCTGCAGAATTTGTTTCTTTGCTTCATCAGATCCTAGGGTTTTTATTAATCACATGAAGGGACATAAAGAGAGACCACCCTACCAGTGTCCTCAATGTGATTATTCCTGCATTAGCTTATCCTATTTGTTGAATCACATCTACTGGCATGCTGGATATAAGCTGTACCAGTGCAGGTTTTGCACCTTTTTTTCATTGTATTTTGCAAGCATGGTAAGGCACAGCTACATGCACACAGGGGCTCGACTGTATTCCTGTGAGTTCTGCCAGTCAAATTTCACAAGCACTACAGCATTAAAGAGACACAGAAGATTACATGCAGGCAAAGAAACTTGCCGAGGGCAGCAGGTTGACTCAGCAACTAGAACAAAGAGAACTCGAAGACCTGTAAAGAGTTACACATGTGATGAGTGTAACATGGTGTTTTACACTAAAGGACATCTCAGCTTTCATCAGAAATTTCATGAACAGTTTAAGGCTAATGGTTATATGAATCAGAGCAATGAATATCATAAAAGAAAAATATGCAAAGCTAACAGTGATTCCCAGGAGACTGTTTCTCTGTCTCTTCCTGGTGGTGAAGAAAATGATTGTCTTGGTGGGAGAATGCTAGCTTCAGCAGTAGACTCCAAGCAGGAAGATAATGTGTGGGACAATAAGAAAATGCGCTCTAGAAAGAAATTCTCTGAAAAAAGCCGTGGAAGCAGCAGCGTACCTGTTGGGAATAGATCTGAAGTTCCTCTGAATTCACACCATATGGAAGCTGTCATTTGTAAAGCGGAGCCTCTCTTCAACTCCAAGGGCTCTCATTCACAAGTTCAAGATGTTGATGCGTATCATAAATATGTGGAAAACCTAAAGGTGACATGGCCTTCCAGTTTGTCTGCATTCAAAACATACAGGTGCCAACACTGCAGTTATGCTACCACTGTTCATAGCAACTTTAGGCTGCATTTGAAATGTCATACAAATGAAAGACAGTTTGTGTGTGAAGAATGCAATAAGGCATTTAGAACAGCAGATGATTTGCAGAAACACAGCCTAATTCATGTAAAGAATGGATATGAGTTTGGCCGTTGCTTCTATGTAAATAGTTATTTAGAGGATCTTGAATGGCATCGTGACACACCTGTAGGTATGTGTCCAGAAAGAGATTTTGGTTCCTTGGAAGGTTCAAAAAGTGTCCATTCCTTGCTTGGTTCAGAATTCTCTGGACTACAGCCAGATATCCAGGGGGGCAAAGGGAATGATTTGCTAGGACAAAGTCAGCCACAATACTATCAGTGTGCAGAGTGTGAGTATGCTACTTACATTTTAAGTAATCTTAAACTACATGTAAGAACTCACACAGGTGAGAGACCTTACAGCTGCAGTGTTTGTCAGAAGAAGTTTCGTAATTCCAGTCACCTTAAAAGACACAGAGTCATGCATTATAATTCAGATTATCTCAAGTGCAGGAAGTGTGACTATTCCACAAACAAATGGCTGTCCTTGAAACGGCATCTGGCTTCACACTCTTATGAAGAAAGCTCATCTACTGGCTGTCTCTATGAACAAAAGCAGCTACCTGTCAAAGCATACACTTGCAAGGAGTGTGGCTATTGCACACTCCACAACGGAAACCTGAAGCTACACATGAGGATTCACACAGGGGAGAAGCCATACAAATGCAGTCAGTGTGCTGTCGCTTTCCGCACATCAAGCCACCTGAAGCGCCACTTGGTGACTCATTTAAAGTTGCACTGCAGAAGGTGTAAATTTTCAACGTTTGATAAATGTGCTTTCCAAAAGCATGTGAAAACACACAAAAGAAAGCACAACTGTAGGAAGTGTAATGTGATGCTGCCTACCAAAAAACTTCTGGAGCAGCATAAGCGGCAACATAAGCTTGAAATATAATCTCGGGAATTGCAAGTTGGCACCTGGTTCTGAAGAGATTTGCATGTCCTGAGTTTGTTCTTTGCTTTACATTCCTCTGCTGTCCCCATAACAATGACTGGTAATGGATGCATCTGGTGGTGTGGTCCGGAGGGTGAAACTTGAGGTACTGACTTGCTCCAGGTTCTTGCAACAGCTCTGTTTCTAGTACAGGCTGTGCTAAAGATCTTGGAGCTGCATAACTTAAGGTTATGAGGTCAATTATGACTTTATATGTCCATCAGTTTAAAACAGTTATTCTGTGCCCCTTTTTTACTTAAAAGACCCCCAAAACTTTACTAACTGAAAGAACGCTTGAAGGGGGAAAGGAAGTGCGCATTATATTTTCTAGTGAAAGCTTTGCATTTAAACATTGTCATTGTGTTTCAAGGCTTAGTGCTGCATCCCATCTGCTGAAAGGTTCATTTACTACTTTCAGGTTCTCTTGCAAGTGTTGCAAGAAAAAAAGTATCTCACAAAATTACAGAAAAAAAGATTTGTGTCATCACTCGATTACAGGGTTATGTTTGCTGTATGTGTGTATACATGAAAGGTTGATAAAACCATTATCTTGACTGTACTTCTGGTAATTCCTTTGAGTAGTCTGACAGAAATGGTGATATTGTCCTTAATCAGATATTTTATGATCCTGGGAATGCTTAAACTGATCTTCAATTTTTTGTGGATATGTAATGTTAATCTAGTATGAAATGCCTCTTCTTTTCTCAGGGTGATAGTTACTCCACTCTTGTTTCTTAAAATAGACAATACTATACTTTTCAAAGAACTTCTGTTAATTTAAGCTCTTGCTGATGTATTGAGAATTAGCAATATCTTTAACTATAAAATTTTGTTAAAGAGCTTTCCTGTGCATCTACAGCACCATGTGTAAGGATCACTTGTGCTGAACAGCAGTTGTTACCATGGTGAAGACAGATGCTTCTTCCACTTTATATTCAAATATAGATGAATCTTTCATTGCTTTGTAGAGTTGCATGTTCTAAGAAGCTCTGTGTGGACATCACTGGCTGTAACATGTTCAGTGGTATTGATAACAGGGGTGTTATCCAAGGAAAGGCAGTAGCAGAGGACTGGTTCAAATCGCCCCTCATGTTACAGTTCAGTCCATGAAGCAGCAGAGTAAATGTACAGCTTAATTTAGAGAATGGAAACATGAAGCTACCACTATGTTTTTAGTGCTCTCAAATGTATGTTTTTCTTTATAAATATAGATAGTATTTTGCAGGGGCTTTCTGGTAATGTAGAAGACAGGTTGGAAGCAGTTGCTGGGAGGTAGTGGAGTCCCCCTCTTCAGATATCCTTGGAAGCCACCTGGAAGGGAGGCCTGGGCAGCCAATACTGTGTGTCCCTGCTGGACCAGGCCTTGAACCAGGTTAACTCCAGAGGACTCACAGCCATTTTGTAATTTGGAATGCAATTTTCCAAGTGTGGATCAAAATTCATGAATGGAAGCGTGTAGTTAAGGCCAGATCAGCAAAGCTATTTAAATGATCTAGTTCTTTGTAGTAAATCAGACAAGTAAATATCAATGACTCTGAGCCCTGATGGTTACACGTTTTTACTACAAGCCAGGAATGAGTGATTCAGATCTTGGAACACCTGAGTTGACCACCTAATACAGTTGTAAGAAAGAACAACATTATCCTGACATGAATAAAGAAAAGCATTTCTGAGAAATATTAACAGTTACACAAGTGTGGAGGAATTTTTACCTTACTGTACAATACCAGTCATTTATTTGAAGAAAAATTCAAAAGAACAGGTACTAAGAGGAAACAAAAACGGTGGAGAGAATTGTAAGCCTATGTATCTGATGTGATTAGGAAAGCTAAATATGGTAGAGAATGATTCTTTGAAAGTTTGGTATACAGCAATGAAGGGACCCCAATTTAAGGCAGTTAAATTCATTGAAGATTTTTTTTTAAAGACTTTGTAAACAGCATAAGTTTCTTTTAGTTGTAATAAAGAACAAGAGGGGATACTTTCACATGAAGCTTGTTAAGTTTGTAAAAATGATTATTCCAGGTGGTTGCCTCTAATAAAAATAAAATATTTGACTTCTGAGGTTCCTCTGTGTTTCTTGTGCAACGCACTGCACTTTTGGGGATGAAAAGTGATTCTTAGTCTGCCAAGGTGGAGAAATTTAAATGTAAGGGCATAATCCTTTTTAAATAAGGACATAGGCTGTTCTTGACATTTTTATTATTATTATTGCTAGTTTAAAGTATAATCTTTTATTCTTGCAGAGTTTTAACAAAACTCAAAGTCTTTCCTAAATCCTGTTTTCTATTTCAGCAGAAAAAGAAATTGCTTTATTTTCTTTATGGACGCACCTTGAATTCAGATAAAGCAATGACATATACCAGGAAATCACACTTAATGAGAACTTGAGCAAATGGGTGTTATTTTATCTGCTATACGTCTACTAGATAAGTGGATAACAGTTAAGCACAGTAAGTAAATCAGCACAGGTGAATCGGACCATGCTGCTATATTGTTCACCACCACCCAGATGTATCTACAGTGGAAGGAAGGGAATAACAGCATGGTTTTTTACATCGCTGGATGCTGCTCTCAGTTGCCATTTGGGCTGCAGAAAATGCATGTGGGTTGGTTTTTATTTTTTTCAAATTAAGAAAACGCACCTGAAGTGCAGCATCTACTTTTGTTCCTCTTCCTTCTCCATTTGTCTGCCCCCCCCGCGCTGTGCACACCTCCGGCCCGCAGGGGGGCGCTAGCAGCAAAGCGCGTCCACACTGCAGCAGAGAAGGCACAGGTCCACCCTGACTACGCATGAGCAGCCAGCTTCCCCCGCTTCCTTCCCCCCTGTGCGCCTGCGCAGAGGACGACGCTTCCCCGCGGAGAGCGCCTGGGCAGAGTGTCTGCTGGTTCCTGTGAGGCGGGCGGTGTTCCGTTCCTTTCCCTCGCTGCTTTGTCTGTGCGGCACTGCCAGCCCCTTCGCAGCCAAGATGCCGCGGATTATGATAAAAGGCGGTGTGTGGCGGAACACTGAGGTAGGTCTCTGGTCGCTTTAATCCCGGGGGGTAGTTTTAGCGGTTTGTGGGGGGACGGCCTGTCCTGCACTAGTGCGCAGGCGCTCATTGAGGGGTCGTGGCGCGCATGCGCGGGGCATTTGTGTGTTGTGTGCTGTAACAGCGTGGGGTTGCGGGAGATACTGGGTCTCTCCGGGGTGGAGAGGGGATTTAGATGGTTAGGTGTCTGCAGGCACATGGCTCTGGTGGCTTGGCTCCTCGGCAGCCTGCCTTCCTGCTTGCCCCCTCTCATCAGGTCCGTGTTGTTTCTCCTGAAGGCTGCGCGTTGGGGAGGACACGCAGCTCAGGCATGCGTGTGTCGTGTCTCTTCCCCCCCCCCCCCCCCGCCGAGGAACCGTCCCCTCGGCAGCTGTAGGGGGTGTGTTGGTCAGGTTGTTCTTGGAGATGCCCCTTTTGCAGGCTGGAGTGTGTCTTGTACTGTACAGTTAGGGTTCTTCGTCTCTGTGGGTATGAGGCAACTGGAATGTTTTGCCCTTCAAGACCATGCCAGATGCGAGAATGAGGATGGGTACACCCTCTTCATCTGCGGGCCAATGTGTGTTGTACACACAAATCTATGTGTTGTTCACAAAGAAAAAAAAAACACACCCTTTTCTCACCTTTGCCACCACGTGCTTTCAAAACTGCAGTTGGTCATGAAAAGGAAAATAACAACATGAGAAGTCAAGAATGTCAGCTTTATTAGATGCATGTTTAAAGTAAAAGGTTTTACCTGACACTGAGGTGCGGAACTGCCGCTGTATACCCCGAACACTAGACATGTACAGTTTGGAACGCTAGTTCCAAAAAGCAGTGAGAAAAATAATAGATCACAGAATGTGTTGGAAGGGACCTTAAATCTTATCTAGTTCCAACCCTCTGTCATAGGCAGGGACACCTTCCACTAGCCCATGTTGCTCAAAGCAGCTAGATAAAGGTCTAGCCTTTAATAATGTACAGAGTGCTGTATGTGTTTTTAACCACTTGTGATGTTACCAGCTATGTGCCAGGAAGCAGCTAAATTGGGGGTCAGCAGGGGACAGGAAGAACTGTTGTATGCTGACACCATTCTCATGGTCTTCCAAAATTGACTTATTTTGGTGGCTGTTAAGAGATACAGCAGTGTGTTAAACACATCATTTTTTCGCTGCTTTGTGTACCAGAGATGAAATTGCTCTCTTTTGGTACTATATTATATTTTTTTAATTAACATTTTGATTATACATACAAGACTAAAAATATAGAACGTGGAACCAGTTGATATCAGATCATTTGTAAAATGACTCATTTCTTGCAAAAACACCTGCTAATGTCATCAGTATGGCTACTGTATGCTACATAGCACCAAGTAAATAAAAAACAACCTAAACCCAAGAGGATTTATTATTATTTTTTAATAGAAATTACAGTAATTGCTTCCTGTAGCAGTTCAAACCAGAGCTAATCATCATCTTACAGATTAAGCTGCTGTATGCTCTGAGAGATGTCTGTGCTGGGCCACAGTGTCTGCCCGTGATGACTAGCATCTGCATGGTACAGCTGAACGGATTCTGAACACAGCTACAAGTACTTACTGGGTACAGAAGAGGAACATCTGTGCTTGACAAGGCTGCAGAATAGCTTTGATGTGTTTAAAATACCACTTTCTGGCCTGTGAGGAAACCAGAAATAATGAACCCATTTATCAGAGCGACAGGAGGGGAGAGACTGGTAGATGGATTGACAGACAACTGATAGGGCTTCTAGCTTTTGATCAAATCTCAATGTGCTCTTTGATGTGTATGAGCCATCTGGCTCCCAAGCTGAATCCATTAGATTTTTACTTTTTTTCCCCCCTAAGTTTATAGGCTTTGGGATCAGAACTTCTGAATGTTGCATTCTGAACGTTCAGGTGATTTATTTTAAGATGTTTACATGTAAAAGAAAAATTTATTATCAAGTATTAATATCTTTTTAACAGCATATTTCATTAGTAGGTAAATATTCCATTTGCATTAAAATATGCAAAAAGGTTATGATTTTATGGTATTGTTTGAAAAAAGCCACCCAGAGGTAACTGTTAGTTCTGTATTTTTCTTTCCAAATGTTGTGTCATTGCCAGAGAAGCACTTCCCTACCTCTTTACTGCT